GCTTCCCATTTTCCTGACTTGAGAACAAAAGTCTACTTCATGTTCATTTCATTTATAACTTTCTGCTTTCATCAGAATAATGCCTGCTTTTTTTTTCCCCCTTGCTGGAAATGGAACCCTGGGTCTCATGCATGTTAGGAAAGCCATTTCGTGTGAACTAAACCCCAGCCAGTTTTGCGATTCCTTTCTGTCTTTTCACATCACTTATTCACCTATGGAACTGGAAAAGCATCCAGCTTTAAAAGTTGTTTTAAAGCAGTGGGGAACTTAATCCAAACTTGGTCTGCAATTAATGGAAGCAGCTAGCTTACAGTGAGATTTTAAGTTGGCATGATCTTGTGATTAACCAATTTTGGGAAATATTGGGATGATCATTTGCCGTGACCTGCATGGCCAAACTCCAGAAACTAGCAAGGGGCCGTGGGGTATTGATAAAGACACACAAACATTAAGAGAGAAAGCTGGGATCAGGTGAGACACTGACCTCTAGTTGAGAACAGTGACCCAGAGCTGGCTCAACATGTTTATTATATGGGTTTTTATCATCAAAAGATTATCTGTGGGAAAGTTCTGCAAAAGAAAGCAAAGTGGAGAGGACAGATGAACTTTGTGTTTGTAGCCTTTGGAGATTTTATGATTGTGTTCCTGTGTTTAGGAAGGCGAGTGTACAGTGGATATTTTGGTAGTGTCTGGGGTGGACCGGTCAGGGACTGTGGATTGTTTATGCTGATATCCATCTTTGCCCTCTTAGAATCATCAATGTTTTGCTAAGATGCATGGCATTCTGGAATATATAGATTATATTTGAACCCTTTTCTTGAAGCTGGTTTGATTAAGTGACTGTCCTGTCACGTATGGAAAAGTCAAAGATTTTGGGATAATTCTGGTAGCTTTCGCTAACAGAAAACTAGGACAGTCTGTCCCCATCTTCCACCTTCATCCTTCCTGCTGCTTGCAATATCGATGATGTAACTGGAGCCCCATCTCAGACCATGAGGACAAGGTCTACTTTCAGGAACAAGGGATAGATAGCTAGAGTCAATCTGGGCAGATGACCCTGAGTCCATGCTCAGGTCTGATTATTTGTGATCTGTACTCCCCCCCACCCCAGATTCATAAGTTGAAGTCCAGTATTGTGGCATGAAGAGGTGGGAATTTTGGAAGGTGATTATGTCATAATCCTTTATGAATGGGTATAGTTCCCTCTTTTGAATGAGCTCAAAGAAATGGGAGATTTCTTTACCCTTCCAACATGCAAGGAAACACACAGAAGTTCCATCTATGATGAGCAGGCCTTCTCCAAACACCAAAACTGTTAGCACCTTGTTCTTTCCAGCCTCCAGAACTGTGACTAGTCATTTTTACTGTTTATGAATTCTCCAGCCTAAGATATTTATTTTGCTATGGCATCCCAGACGGACTAAGATAATTCCTTTCCTCTTGGGGTTGTCCTATCAAGAATAGAATCCTAGTCTGCTACTTACTAGCTGTTTGGCTTGGGGGAAATCATTTATCTCACTAAGGCTTCCTTCCTTTACTACTTAATCGTACCCCCTTTTGTTCTCTTTTGAAGATTTACAAGTCTGCATGTACAATATAACTGAGCCAATATCTTCCAAGCATTTGCAGTACATCAAGTCCAATTTTTTTCCTTTCTTTATTTTTGCATCATGACTTTAAAGCTTAAATGTTTTAAAAATCATAAAAGAAATATGTTTACATTTCTGTATTTATTTCTTTATGGTATTTGGGATAGAACCCAAGACTTTGCACATGCTAGGGAAGTGCTCTACACCTTAGGTAACTTCCTAACCCCAAAGAGATGTTTGAGTTTTGGAAAACATGGCAACCTGATGTTGGAGGAAACCACTGGAACATTCAGTAGTTTCTAAATATCCACAATTATGTCTGAGAAACTTTGATTTGGTCTGCTACTGGCTCCAATGAGAACTTAACATTTGAAGATGCACAACCAGAAATCCCTTCTCCCTTAGATGTTGCAGGTAGTGGAAGTTGCAGGGGTTTTGAATACAGTGAGAAGACAAAGGAGTGAGGTTATGGGTGGAATGGTGGGGGCTGAGGGTGGGGGTAAGGGGGTGTCCACTTTAGCACCACGGACAGTAGCTTCCCCAGCCCTGGCTCCTCTCTGCCTGTAGGTGTCTCCCGCTAAACACAGGAGGCCACAGACTGGGAGGAGGGGAGAGGACTACTGGCTGTAAAATTAGAGAGGAACATCGATGGCCAAGTGAGACCAAAATAAATAAATAAATAAATAAATAAATAAATGCAGTATTAAAGGAAAGTCACCTTTATTTTTCTATTTATCTTGCAAGTTCTTTTCTTATTACAAAATGATATGTATCCATAGAAGAAAGTGTAAAAAATAAAATTCTACAATACCCACATATCTCAATAATCACTGGTAATATGCTGTCATCCATAATCCCAATTTTAAATTATAAGAAATGTTTTACATGTGAAAATTAATCTTTATGTCTAAAGGTATTACATTTACATGTAAGCTTCTGTTAAAGATGCTCTGTACTGGCCATGAAGCCCATGAAAAGGTCCTCCACATCATTAGTCATTAGGGAGATGCTAATGGAAACCTTAAAATGCCACTTTACTCCCCACAAGGATGGCTAGAATCTAAAACGGGGAAAGTAACAAGCGCTGATGAGGATGTGAAGAAACTGGAACCCTCCTACATTCCCGACAGAAATGCAAAATGGTGCAGCTTCTGTGGAAAACAGTTTGGAGGTTCATCAAATGGGAAACAGAATTACCACATGACCCAGCAATCCTATTTCTAGGTTTAAACTGGGCACAATTTAAAACATGTGTAGGAACAGGTACTTGTGCATAAATGTTCATAGCTGCCCCCTTCACAATCTCAAAAGGTGAAAACAACACAAATACCCATTAGTCAATGAATGGGCAGACAAGTGCGGTGTATCTATGCAATGGAATACTCTCAGCCACAAAGAGGAATGAAGTATGACATATGTTACAACACGGACGAATCTTGAACACATTATACTGTGTGCAAGAAGTCAGACACCAATGGTCACATGTGACATGATTTACTTATTTGAAATGTTTGGAAGAGGCCAATCTAAAGGGAAAGAGAGCTGATGAGTGGTTGCTGAGGCTGGTGCAGAGGTAGGAATGAGATGTGTCTGCTAACTGGTCAGGGTTTCCTCCTGGGAATGAAAATATCCTGGAACTAGATGGTGGTGAAGTTTGCATGACATTGTGCGTGTGCCAGTGCCGTTGAATTTTGCACTTGAAAATGGCTAAAGTGGTGAATTTACAGACAAAAGGTTTCATAGAGTGGTTAATGGCATATAACACAAACCCAGGCTCCCTGCCTCCACCAGCCTCATGAATTTGGGCAAGTCACTTAAATATTCTTCAGCCTTATTCCCCATTCATAAAGTGGAGGGGGGACTTAATATACCTAAAGGAATTAATCAAGGTCAATGACTGTGTAAGCAAATGCGGTGCCAACCAGCATACCTGCTGTACGCTGCCCAGTGTTCCTAGGCACATAGTAGGTCTTCAGTGAGCTCAGTAACTGCAGACACCGGGGTGTCTTTCTCCTGTCTCCAAAACTATGGCTGGTTGATCCTGCTCTGGACTGTCCCCTGATCATGACATGGATGGACCTGCCAGCAGGTGAAGCCTTCCCCTTGGGTGGTATAGGAGATTCAGGGGAGGGCACACACCACTGTACTGTCCCATGACTCTAGCTAGGACCAGCCACATGAGTCTCCTAGCTATTGAGTGGAGGTGGTAGTCGTGGTGCAGAGGGAAATTTGGTATCTTCTTAGCATCCTACCAGTGTCAGGAGACCGTCTCTCTTGCTCTGCTATGAGCCGAAATCCTGAAGTTCTCACCTGTGACAACCACAGAAGGAAATTATGGCCAGGATCCTGAGAGGACCAGACACATGGTCTCTTGGGTGGTTTCTCCTAGCTGCAGGAGGTGACCCAGGTGGTGATTAAAGGGCCTCAAGATGGAGCCACCACATGGCTGGAGATCTCACCGGTTACAAATTTCCCTGGGTTAACACAAGGCATAATCTCCAATGGATGGGGACATAATCATGCACACAGAGCCTTTGGCCCATCCTAGTCAAAATGCTAAAAAGCAGATGAGAAAAAGACAGGATTACAGCCAGAAAGGAAAGAAACTGAAAAATGATACAAAATATGAAAATTTCCTGACAAGGGGTGTGGTCCTCAAGAGGTTCTTCATGCCCCTGAGCTCACTTCTCCAGGTTACTTGGTATCCTACAGTTTTCTTGAGGGCTGGGGATGGAATCCAGGGCCTGGCACATGCTGGGCAAGAGATCTACCACTGAGCCCCAACCTCAGCCCTCTATGTTAATTTTTGAAATGGTAAAGAAATGGATCCAAATGACTTTGGCCACATCTTCTGAGAAAAAAAAAATTGTAGAAGTGGCTCCTAACTTGTTACAGCCGCTTCCTCTCTCACATGTACAAGCTCTTTACGAACCAATGTAACAGGAAACCTAGAGGGAAAAGGCATCAGCGATCTCCAAACGTACTCTAGGGAAGCTACGGATGTACCAATGTGGAGGGCAATGGAATGTGCGGCAGAAACTTGGAGCAAAAAGGCCTCCCCTAGACAACGTGTCATCTCCCCAAGACGTGAACTGTGATAACGTATCTAGAGATCCTGGGGCCTTGCAGAGCCAGGGAGGAAACATCTGATAGTGGACATTGCCTATCACAGGACGGGTGTGTCTCCAGACAACACCCAAGGGCTGTGAGCGCAGCAGAGGAGAGTGAGCTGCAGCCGTGGCTGAAGGGAGGCACTGTGGATTGAGGCTGAACGGGACCTTATGCCAATGGAAGAAAAAACCTACGTGCACGCCCAGGGAGCCAGATGAATCAAGGGGCTTAGGCAGGAGTCATTTGTCCATCCAGATGTCCAGTGTACCCTTTAATGATTGACTACCAAGAAGGAGGGGGAAACTCAGGAT